CCAAGAGGACCGTGAATCTCAAATGCATACATATGTGTGTGTGTACATAATAAAACAATAATATAATAAATCTTTATTTATATATATATCCCACTTTTCTCTCCCAAAGAAAGACAGATAGATCAATAGACAGATAGATCTCTGCAGGGAAGGTTTGCAGGGACCAAGAGGGCTGCGAATCCCAAACGCAGAATGGTATGCAAAGACGTTCAAGAGGGGGAAGGGGTTTCTGTGCACAGAGAAGCCCCCCAACATTCCCCAAAATCTCACCCCGGTTTTGGAAAGGAAAGAGGCGGATGGGCAAAGGGAAGAAGAAGGGTCTCTTGCCTGCAAAACAACAAGCCGGGGAGAGAGAGAAGCGGGAGGGAAGAGGTGGTGGGAGAGAAGAGAAGAGAAGAGAAAGGGGGGGGGGTCCTCCTTGTTCGGCTCCTTCTTTGCTGGGGCAAGTTCAGGTTTCAAAGCAGAAGGGGCCGCCAATGGGGGGAGGGGGTGGCACTGAACGGAGGCCCCAAACAAAAAAGGGGGTGAGAGCATCCTGAGATGGAAGGAATGAGTGTGCAAGGAAGGAAAGAAGGAAGGAAGGAAGGAAGGAAGGAAGGAAGGAAGGAAGGAAGGAAGGAAGGAAGGAAGGAAGGAAAGGAGCCCCACAAAGGGAGAGAAGGGAGAGGGCACTGCAGTCTTCGCAGCAGGGAAAGAAGAAAGGAAGGAAGGAGAAAGGAAGCAGAAGGAGGACGCATTTTCCTCTGTACGGATGGGGACAGCAAAACGAAGGAAAGAAGGAAGGAAGGAAGGGGAAAGGAAGCAGAAGGAGGAAGGAGGGAGCAATCTCCTCTGCATGGATGGGGACAGCAAAAGGAAGGAAGGAAGGAAATGAAGAAAAAGGAGGAAGGAAGGAAGGAAGGAAGGAAGGAAGGAAGGAAGGAAGGAAGGAAGGAAGGAAGGAAGGAAGGAGAAAGAGAAAGGAAAGACAAAAGGGCTAAATTACCCATAGAATGGAAAGGCTAATTTGAATTTGACCCCTAACTTATAACACATGGAATCTTGAAACAGAAGGAAGGAAGAAAAGGAAGGAAGGAAAGGGAGGGGGAAAGGGGAAGGAAGGGAAGGAAGGAAGGAAGGAGGAAGGAAAGGAAGGAAGGAAGGAAGGAGGAAGGCAGAAGGAAGGAAGGCAGGAAGGAAGGAAGGAAGGAAGGCAGGAAGGAAGGAAGGAAGGCAGGAAGGAAGGAAGGAAGGAAGGAAGGAAGGGAAGGAAGGAAGGAAGGAAGGAAGGAAGGAAAGAGGAAGGAAGCAAAAGGAGGGAGGGAAGGAGAAAAGAAGGAAGGAAGGAAGGAAGGAAGAAGGAAGGAAGCAAAAGGAGAGAAGGAGAAGGAAGGAAGGAAGGAGGAAGGAAGGAAGCAAAAGGAGGTGGAAAGGAAGAAGGAAGGGAAGAAAGGAAGAAGGAAGAAGGAAGGAAAAAGGAAGGAAAGGGAGGGAAGGAGAAAAGAAGGAAGGAAGGGAAGGAAGGAAGGAAGGAAGGAAGGAAGGAAGGAAGGAAGGAAGGAAGGAAGGAGAAGGAGAAAGGAAGGAAGGAGGAAGGAAGCAAAAGGAGGGAGGGAAGGAGAAAGGAGGGAGCATTCTCCACTGCATGGATGGGGACAGCAAAAAGAAGGAAGGAAGGAAGGAAGGAAGGAAGGAAGGAAGGAAGGAAGGAAGGAAGGAAGGAAGGAAGGAAGGAAGGAAGGAAGGGGTCAAATAGGAAAACAAGGCGGTTGCGTATACATGCGTGTACATATGTGTATACACAAGTGGGAGGTTAATGAGAGACAGAAGGGAAACTGAGGCACGGGAAAGGAGAGAAGGTGCCAAAGGAAGAGAGCGATACCAATTGCCTCCCTCTTATTTATTTTGGTAGGAACTGAATGGGATAAGGACTATTTACGTTGTGTCTACGTATATCTATTGGTAAATAAATTCGAGGAATGTTTACATAGAGCGTCTGTTTGTGACAAAGAAGCAAAAGTGGGAAATGTTTGTGTGTATAACTGACTACAAAGCAACGTATGGGATGAAGGATAAATAGTGCACAGGACCAAAAAGAGGAGGGTATGAGAAATAGTAAGAAAAGATGACCATAAATAGGACCAATCATTACATCACAGGGTAGATAAATGGATAGTATAAGTTAGTATTATATCAGAAAATCCTTACATTATATAATATAATGCAAAGTTAATATTATATTATAAATACTTATATTATATACTATATTTCAAATATTATAAGTAAATATTATCAGGACTTATATTATATTAATGCATAAAAATATCATACATAAATATAAGATATTCATGCTCATTTACCATATAATTATATTATATAGTAAATAAAAATGACAAATATTCCTATCCCATCCAATTTGTGGTCAATCCACTCCTTTGGGCTTCATGCAAATCTAGTATTTGCCAAGTAAACAGTATCAATAATTAAATTCAATATTATTTATTGAATAAAATATTATGAAGAATTATATATTATAAGTAATTATGATAATTAATTTTAATATATTATTAATAAATATGATCAGGAATTATATATAATATACTAAAAATATAATGAAGAATGGTCTTATAAGTAAGCATTATCATTAACTGTATTGTATTATGAATAAATATTATCATTAATTATATTATATTGCATACATTCTTTACTATATAATGGATAATTAAATATAACTAAATATGATCAAGAATTGTCTTATGGATTATACATAAATATACCATATATCTTATATTATAAATAATAGTTAATTATATAGAATATGATCATTAATTAGATTACACTGCAACTATTAGGACCATAGAACCATAGAGTTGGAAGAGACCTCTTGGGCCATCCAGTCCAACCCCATTCTGCCAAGAAGCAGGAAAATCGCATTCAAAGCCCTCCCGACAGATGGCCATCCAGCCTCTGCTTAAAAGCCTCCAAAGGAACCTCCACATTTCATAAATCCTTGGAAATTTGAATATCGTGTATTATAAACATGATCAAGAATTGCACGATATGATCGATACTTGTCTCCCATTATAAATAAAGATGGTCACTAATTAGATAGGATAGGGTCATCAATTAGACTGGACTGCAACTCTGAGGAAGCGTTCTATAAATCCTTGGAAATTTAAATATCAAGTATTTGTAATATTTATAATCTATTGACTATATATAATTTATAATATTTATAATCTAATGATTATATATATATTAATAATTTATAATATTTATATTATATAGATTACATATATATAATTTATATTTATAATCTATTGATTATGTATATACAGTTCATAATATTTATAATCTATTGACTATATATAATTTATAATATTTGTAATTTATTAATTATATATATTTATTAATAGTTCATAACATTTATAATCTATTGAGTATTAATAATTTATAATATTTATATTATATAGATTATATATATTTCTAATTTATAATATTTATAATCTATTGATCATATATATATATATTAATGATTTCTTATATTTATAATCGATTGATTATCGATATGATCAATACTGGTCTCCCATTATAAAGAAGCATATTCACTAGTTATATTGAATAGGGCCATTAATTAGATGTATTGCAAGTATTAGAAATTTTTGGGAAAGAGAGAGAGAGAGAGAGAAGAGGGGGTTGAGGGGGTATTTATAATATTGGTAATCTACTGATTATATTATAATATTATAATTAGATTATAAATATTATAATCTCCTGATTATCAATATGATCAATAGATATGATCAAGACTGGTCTCCTATTATAAATAAGCATGTTCACTAATTATATTGATTATTAGGTTCTTGTGGGTCTTTTCGGGCTATATGGCCATGTTCTAGAAGCATTTCTCCTGACGTTTCGCCTGCATCTATGGCAAGCATCCTCAGAGGTAGTGAGGTCTGGTGGAAATGGGAAAATGGGTTTATATATCTGTGGAATGACCAGGGTGGGACAAAGAACTCTTGTCTGCTGGAGCCTGGAGCCAAGTGTTGTGACTCACTGGGTTGTTGTAGGTTTTTCCGGGCTATATGGCCATGTTCTAGAGCATTCTCTCCTGACGTTTCGCCTGCATCTATGGCAAGCATCCTCAGAGGTAGTGAGGCTTGACGCTGGAGAGAATGCCTCTAGAACATGGCCATATAGCCCGAAAAAACCTACAACAACCTAGTGATTCCAGCCATGAAAGCCTTCGACAATATATTGATTATGTATAATCTCCTGATTATCAATATGATCAATAGATATGATCAAGACTGGTCTCCTATTATAAATAAGCATGTTCACTAATTATATTGATTATTAGGTTCTTGTGGGTCTTTTCGGGCTCTATGGCCATGTTCTAGAAGCATTCTCTCCTGACGTTTCGCCTGCATCTATGGCAAGCATCCTCAGAGTGATTCCAGCCATGAAAGCCTTCGACAATATATTGATTATGTATAATCTCCTGATTATCAATATGATCAATAGATATGATCAAGACTGGTCTCCTATTATAAATAAGCATGTTCACTAATTATATTGATTATTAGGTTCTTGTGGGTCTTTTCGGGCTCTATGGCCATGTTCTAGAAGCATTCTCTCCTGACGTTTCGCCTGCATCTATGGCAAGCATCCTCAGAGTGATTCCAGCCATGAAAGCCTTCGACAATATATTGATTATGTATAATCTCCTGATTATCAATATGATCAATAGATATGATCAAGACTGGTCTCCCATGATAAAGAAGCATGTTTATTAATTATATTGAACAGGACCATTAATTAGATGGCATTGCAAGTATTAGGAATTTTTGAGAAAGAGAGAGGAGGGGGGGTTGGAGGGATGGGTCACGTGGGGGAGGGGGGCTGAGTGTGTGTCCCTCTGCCGAGGCCCCGCCCCCTGAGTGCTGAGGCCCCGCCCCCTGAGTGCTGAGGCCCCGCCCCTGGCTTCGTAGGCCCCGCCCCCTGGTGGAGTGCCTTACCTGTGGGCAGCATGGAGGCGGCGGCGGCGGCGGCCAAGAGGAAGAGGGCCAGCGAGGGCGGGAAGGAGAAGGCCGGGCACGACGCGGAGGGAGGCGGCGGCTGAGGCTGCGGCTGGAGCGGGAAGAAGGGCAGGCGCAGCGGCAGAGAGGAGGACGGGGGGTGGCTCTCCGGGGGCGGCTCCGGCTGCACCGCCGTCGCCACCCTCCTCCTCCTCCGCCGAGGGTGAAGCTGCCTCCGCCGGGGAGACTCGGCTCTGAGCCCGGCCATCCTGCTTCTTGCCTGCCTGCCTGCCTGCCTGCCTTCCCTCCCGGATCGCCGGCCTGCCTGCCTGCCTGCCTGCCTCTCCCGTCAGTCCTTTCCTCCGCGCACCTGCTCCGCTTCTGCCAGCCCGGCTCTGAGGCACACACCGCCGAGGCACACAGGGCGGAGCTACACCCGCAGACAGCCAATCAGGGCAAGGACATCTCCGACGAGGGGGCGGGGCCTGCATAATCACATCAAACACTGCTTCTTATTCGCCAGCTCTGCAAGGCGGGGCTTGCATAATCACTTCAACCTACGCTTCCTATTCGCCAGCGCTCCGAGGCGGGGCTTGCATAATCAGCACAGCGCCACCAAACGGGGCCCGCTCATCCCTGCTCCTCTTTCTCTCTTCCGATAGGTCCCTACAAAGGGCGTGGCCTGCATATATTAAGAATCCGCTCCTCACTCGCTGTCTCCGAGACTAAAGGGGCGGGGTCTGCATGAATTATGGATCTTTTCTTTCTCACCATCTCCAACAGCGCGAAGGCGGGGACTGCATACTTAATTGCGCCTCTTCGCTACCAATAGGTCCACAGAAGGGGCGGGGACTGCATATATTAGGGATTTTCTCACTATCTCCAAGAGCGAAGGGGCGGGGCCTGCATAAATTATGGAATTCCTTTCTGACCATCTCCAACAGCGAGGGGGCGGAGCCATTTTAACTATCTCCACTAGCAAAGGGGCGGGGCCTGCATATATTAGGGTTCTTCTGACCATTTCCAACAGCGAGGGGGCGGGGCTATTTTCACTATCTCCAAAACCAAAGGGGCGGAACCTGCATAAATTATGGGATTCCTTTCTGACCATTTCCAACAACAAGGGGGCGGGGCCATTTCCACTATCTCCAATAGCAAAGGGGCGGGGCCTGCATAAATTATGGAATTCCTTTCTGAACATCTCCAACAGCGAGGGGGCGGGGCCTTTCTCACTATCTTCAACAACAAAGGGGAGGAGCCTGCATAAATTATGGAATTTCTGACTATCTCCAACATCAAGGGGGCGGGGCCTTTCTCACTATCTCCAATAGCAAAGGGGCGGAGCCTGCATAAATTATGGATCTTCTCTCCTTTCTATCTCCATGAGCGAGGGGGCGTGGCCTGCATAAAGAGCCCAGCGGGCGCTCCCTATTCGCCAGCTCCTGAGGGGCGGGGCTTGCATATAAAAGAAGCTTTTCCTCTCCCCTTCCTCTCTTCCTATTGGTCTCAAGGTGAGGGGAGGGGCCTGCATAAATTATGGGATCTCTCCTCCCCTTGGTAAACATCTCAAGCACACATAATATTGATAGATTATTTAGATTGTGATGGATTATTATTATTATTATTATTATTAACTCGCCTTTATAGCTTGGCAAGGCCTTGCCGAACTACAACTCCCAGGCTGGATGCTATGGGTGGGTTAGAGGTACTAAACCGCATTAATTGTACAATGGAGACGCCCTTGAGAGGACAAACCTTGGGATTTGTAGCTTGGCGAGGACTTGTCAAACTGCAACTCCCAGGATCCCATAGCATTGACCCATGGGACTGAAAGAGATGCTGAACTGCATCATTTCAGCACTTGAGAGTGCAAATACTGGGATTTGTAGTTTGGCAAGGCTTTGCTGAACTACAACTCCCAGGCTACATGCTATGGGAGTTAAAGAGGTACTAAACTGCATTGATTGTACAATGGAGACACACTTGAAAGTGCAAACCTTGGGATTTATAGTTTGGCAAGACCTTCTTGAACTATAACTCCCAAGACCCCATAGCATAGAGCCATGGGGGTTAAAGCGGTACTAGACTGCATTACTTGTACTATAGAGATGCACCTGAGATTCCAAATTCTGAGATTTATAGTTTGGCAAGGCCTTGTCGAACTATAACTCCCAGGATCCCATAGCATTAAGTCATGGGAGTTAAAGAAGTGCTGAACTGCATTAATTGTACAGTTTGGCCCAATTCTATTGTTGGTGGGGTTCAGAATGCTCTTTGATTGTAGGTGAACTATAAATCCCAGCAACTGCAACTCCCAAATTTCAAGGTCTATTTTCCCCAAACTCCACCAGTGTTCACATTGGGGCATATTGATTATTTGTGCCAAGTTTGGTCCAGATCCATCATTTTTTGAGTCCACAGTGCTCTCTGGATGTAGGTGAACTACAACTCCCAAACTCAAGGTCAATGCCTACCAAACCCTTCCAGTATTTTCTGTTGGTCATGGGAGTTCTGTGTGCCAGGTTTGATTCAATTCCATCTCTGGTGGGGTTCATAAGGGTCTTTGATTGTAGGTTAACTATAAATCCCAGCAACTACAACTCCCAAATGTCAAGGTCTCTTCTCCCCAAACTCCACCAGTATTCACATTTGGGAATATAGAGTATCCATTCCAAGTTTGGTCCAGCTCCTCCATTGTTTGAGTCCACAGTGCTCTCTGGATGCAGGTGAACCAAAACTCCCAAAGTCAAGGTCAATGCCCACCAAACCCTTCCAGTATTTTCTGTTGGTCATGGGAGTTCTGTGTGCCAAGTTTGGTTCAATTCCATCGTTGGTAGAGTTCAGAATGCTCTTTGGTTGTAGGTGAACTATAAATCCCAGCAACTACAACTCCCAAAGTCAAGGTCAATGCCCACCAAACCCTTCCAGTATTTTCTGTTGGTCATGGGAGTTCTGTGTGCCAAGTTTGGCTCAGTTCCATCATTGGTGGAGTTCAGAATGCTCTTTGTAGGTGAACTATAATTCCCAGCAACTACAACTCCCAAATGACAAAATCAACCCCCTCCAACCCCACCAGTATTCAAATTTGGGTGTCGGGTTGTTGTTCATTCGTTCAGTCGTCTCTGACTCTTCATGACCTCATGGACCAGTCCACGCCAGAGCTCCCTGTCGGCCGTCACCACCCCCAGGGTCTCCTTCAAGGTCAGTCCAGTCACTTCAAGGATGCCATCCATCCATCTTGCCCTTGGTCGGCCCCTCTTCCTTTTGCCTTCCACTTTCCCCAGCATCATTCCCTTCTCTAGGCTTTGCTGTCTCCTCATGATGTGGCCAAAGGACTTCAGCTTTGCCTCTAGTCTCCTTCCCTCCAATGAGCAGCCGGGCTTTATTTCCTGGAGGATGGACTGGTTGGATCTTCTCGCAGTCCAAGGCACTCTCAGAACTTTCCTCCAACACCACAGCTCAAAAGCATCTCTCTTCCTTCGCTCAGCCTTCCCTGAGGTCCAGCTCTCACATCCGTAGGTGACTACAGGGAAGACCATGGCTTTGACTAGGCAATGGATCTTGGTTGCCAGTCTGATGTCTCTACTCTTCACTATCTTATCGAGATTAGTCCTTGCTCTCCTTCGAAGAAGTAAGCATCGCCTGATTTCCTTGCCACGGTCTGCGTCTGCACTCATCTTTGCACCTAGAAATACAAACCCTGTCACGGCTTCCACGTTTTCTCCCTCTATTTTCCAGTTGTCAATCATTCTTGTTGCCATAATCTTGGTTTTTTTGACGTTTAGCTGCAACCCGGCTTTTGCGCTTTCTTCTTTCACCTTGATTAGAAGGCTCCTCAGCTCCTCCTCGCTTTCGGCCATCAGGGTGGTGTCATCTGCATATCTGAGGTTGTTAATGTTTCTTCCAGCAATTTTCACCCCAGCTTTGCATTCCTCAAGCCCCGCACATCGCATGATGTGTTCTGCATACACGTTAAAAAGGTTGGGTGAGAGGATGCAGCCTTGCCGTACGCCTTTCCCAATCTTGACCCAGTCTCCTTTTCCGTGGTCAGTTCTGACTGTTGCTCCTTGGTCCTTGTCCAGATTCCTCAGGAGAGAGGGAAGGGGGCTTGGGATGCCCATCCCACAAAGAACTTGCCACAATTTATGATGATCCACACAGTCAAAGGCTTTAGAATAGTCAACGAAGCAGACGTAGATGTTTTTCTGAAACTCCCTGCCTTTCTGTATCGGGTATTTGTGCCAAATTTCTTCCAGTAAATTAAAATAGATCCTGCATATCAGATATTTACATGACAATTTGTAACAGTAGCAAAATCATAGTTGCGAAGTAGCAAAGCAAATAATGTTCTGGTTGGGGGTCACCACCACTTGAGGAACTGGATTAAGGGGTCACGGCAAGAGGAAGGTTGAGAAACACTGAGGAGGAGTGTCTTGAGTGAAAGTTTTGTGACTATAACAAGAGTAAAGAAATTTCATTACTTTTTCGGTATAGTAATTGTGCAAGTGGGGAAACTTCAGGATCTCCATTCCCGAGAATCCTGTGCTTCCTCTGTCTCTTTCCCAGCGAACTCTGCTTTCTCTCTGCCACCTTTTTGCCTTTGCTTTGCTTCCTTGCGCTGGACATCGAACCGATTTCCAGGCATTACAGAATTCAAATGGAAAAGTATTGGTGAGTTTCAATTCTTAAGTTTTTCTTTTACTCTTTTAATCCTTGTATATGTGTATGTTTTATATTGTGCTGCCATGCTTTTCGTTGTGAACTGTTCTGAGCAGGCGTGGGCAAACATCTCTTCTCCAAAGTAAACAGTCCATGGTTTCCAGCCTTTGGACCGTTTTGGTGGCCCTTCTCTGGACACCGCGTCCAGTTGCGTCCAGTTGCCCATCTCTGAACTCATGGAGTTCTTAAAATCATATATTCAAGCAGTGGAAATATACCATGTTGATTTTGTCACGTGAAAGCTTGTATCGTCGTTTCAAGAACATGACACTAGGCATGGCTACATATAACACACAACAATACATGGAGTGAGAGTTGCCAAGCTGGGTTTAGAAAAGGCAGAGGAATGAGAGACCAGATTGCCAACATCCGGATACTGGAGAATGGAGGAAGGCAGGGCGTGTCAGAAAAACATCTATTTCTGTTTTATTGACTATTCTAAAGCCTTTGACTGTGTGGAAATTATTCCCTTTGTTCAATGGCAGAAATAAATTTGTATATTTCCATGGCAAGCAATAAAACCCAGATAAAATTCAAAATTTTAGATGATGCTAAAACAAGAACACCCAGTTATGTACTAATACTGTATTTGAATGATTGTTTTGATTATTGAAGTAATTGGTTTTACTTAAAGATGGGAGGCTTTTGGAACTTGAAGGTCACAACTTAAG